GAACTTTCCTCTTTATTAATAAAATAACTTGACCTTTATAAAACAAATCACCATTGCCTCTTTTGCTTGACCTCATATATCTCAGAACTGTACTAATTTTAGTATATCCTTACGAACTTTAGTATACCACATTGGTCCATCCATCCAAAGTGTCTTCCTGCTATTAGTTCTCTATCTATATTTTTCTCCTAAGATAGAATGATATAAGACAAATTGGTGGTAACTATAAAATGCACCTCATCCATTAGACACAAATTCGACAATCAGGTTCCAAAAATGAAACGCTCTTTGATTGCCACCCCTGAAAAATTGCCCTGAAGAATTTCGATCTTCAAAAAGCGACGAAAGCAATATTGTGTCTGCAACGATTGGAGAAACAAAAAATAATTCCGCTTCAACAACGATGCCTATGAAGAATTCGGCTGCTGGTATATTCCGAATAGATGAAGAAGCATCATTCTGACCTAAAAGAAGTTCAAATTCAACGATAAAAACTTTGGAATGGCTTGCGCGAAAGAAAAGCGAAGCCTAAAGAACGACTATCATGGGATCGGTGGTATATGCACCTCTCCCTAAAAAAATTAAATACAAAAAAAAAAATAATGATGAATAACAACAACACTGTACTACATCGTTCCCAAAGAAATCATGTGCCCCATCTATCCTAACAGCCAAGAAGATACTTACTTTGCAGCAAGTCGTTGGCCCTAAGGATACGGCTGGTATGCCATATGATCACGAGAAATTTGACGTATCTCCAACGTACAAAGAGAAAATAACAGATTAGCATTGGCCATTTTCTTTAAAACAATAATTATAATAATAATTATAAAAAAAATAAAAATAAAAAGAAGAAAAGAAAAGAGAGGAAAAAGACCGCTTACCTCTTAACAAATAGTCGGTGCCGATGATCACAAAAAAAGTCATGATGCCGAAAGAAGCAAGAGACAAATTCCTAAAAGAAAGAAAGAACCGTCCAGTAAAAAGAAGAATAGCAAAGAAACCAAAGGCAAAGAATCAAACTTACCAATAAGACTCTGATAGCCAAGCCAGGGATGTGGATATCGCTGAGAGTCAAGGAGAACCTGCGGATGGCGAATCAGATATTAAGAGCATGGGGCTAGGGAAAGACTGGTAAGAAAAAGTTAAAAGCCAATGGTAAAATGCCGCAAAATGAAGAAAACATCACAAATGCCGTGACTTACTAGAATTGCACCAAAATGAGAGAATACGAATGCCAAAATACCATCATGATCAAGATTACAATTACAATCACAAAGAAAAAATGTTTATCATACAAAGTCTACAAAAGTTAAGCATGCCTAGAATATATATGTATGCATATATATTCTCAAAGATGTCAGAGCAGCAAGAAAAGTCTAACGCTTCAACAAGCCCCCACCGTAATAAACGATCGATGAGAGATATACCATCCCGACAATTGGAAATATCGGGACAAGACCACGGAGAAGATACCGACATGGAAAGAAAAAAAAAACAAGAGTGGTTAGAGAAAGAACTAAACATCCAAAAACAAAAAAAATGGATATAACAAATGGAATGCTTACCTCACCTCAAGAAGATGACAGTTCTGATGTGAACACTGGAATGCTGTTATAATCGTGATCATGATTGCACTCCCACGAGTAAACGAATATCTATCCAATCAAAAAAAAAAATGTTTCCGGTAGAAGCAGCAGTAATATCAAGGTAGCCGGATGAGTGAGAAGAGATTGGGAAAGTACAAAGACTACAGTGGTCAAGGTTCTGCTACGGCTTGAATTTTTCGAAGATGAAATGCCAATGGAAGTTGATATAAACAATGAAGCAGCTGCGATGATGTTACCCAGTTGGAGTATGATCTCAAGAATGGATCAATCTACAACAATTGCCCTGCTTTCTTATAATTAAACATCAGAATATATCATCAATATCAATCACAAATGCTAGTACAAAATTGTAACAGGATGATGTTTGAGGTTATAGTATTTTATGAAATTATCAAAGTGATTAATACTATTTTTTCAATTCATTTTGCACAAATAATATAATTATTTTATTTACATAAACATTTTTAATTTTATTAAAACTTTATTATTTTATTATCATTATTTTTAGGGCTCCTAATGGTATCACTTCAATACTACTTCGATATCAGTTCGATACTTAATTTACTATAAATTTATATGAGTGGGTCACAACTCATATATTAAATTTATTATAGATCAGTATTATTTCGATACCACTTAAATATCGGTTCGGTACTTTTCAGAGCCCTAATTACTTTACATTTTTAATAAAAAACATTGAAATCTTGAGGTATTCTTTAGCTACTAAAAGATTCAGCACCCAGGTTATGCAACATGGATGCAGATACCTTGGTAACCCAGTCCTCCACTTGCATATACAAGTATCATTGAACCCTTGAACAAAAGAAAGAACCTATTAAAAGAAGTTGGTACAATATTTCCTAATAAAATAAAAAAATATGATAGCAAAATAACCGGCCAAAACCCTAGCTCCAATTATTTGTCACTGGCTAGAACCCTAGCTCCAGTGTGTCATTTTTCTTATCAGTAGCAACTGTTACATCCAAAATTACACAATTCTTTATTTAAAAACAAAATTCTTACACATTACTATTATTGTTGTTATTATTATTTCTTCTTTCTTGTTCTTCTTGATAATTGAGAGGACGAGGTCCAGGATTTCTTTCAGGATTTAATCGTATCCAGTTTGAATTAAGTTTATATTCATATCCAATAAGCATGTCATCTCTATCATATGGAGGACAATATTGTTTTTCCCAAGGACCACCCATATAAGCCCAGGAATTTGAGTTAGAACTTGAAGTTCTTTAACAATGAAGAAGTTTTCTTTCTAATTCTTTATTTCTGGATTCAAGTTCAGCAATATGATGTCAGAGAACACCAATAATACCTGATCGAGTTTGACTCACAGCCAAATAATTGATGTATTCTTCTTTAAGTATAGTTATTTTCTCTAAGACTGTTTCCAACTTTTGTTTCAAGAGAAGATTATTTTGTTCTGACCTGCGCAAATATCTTTGCAAATATTTGGTATATTCTTCCAAATAGTTGAATATAATTTCCAATGGATTCTTATTGGAGAAGCAAGTAATGGGATGACTTTTGAATATAATGATAACAAACCTAAAATAAGAAAAAAAGGGAAAAAAAATCAGTACTTAATATTAAATGAAAAGAAATAATTCAAAAAAAATTGGATACTTTGGAAAAACAATACAGTTAAACTTGCACTTGAAAAATTTGACAATATCTAAATGAAAATCAATTTTTAAATATTATATTATTTAAGAAACCGAAGAAAACAAAAAGATCTTTTTGCCGCTATAAATCTGCAACTTAAAATTCATCTTACTACTGTATACCATTTAAAAAAAACAAGCATATAAGCAAACTTGAATAAATTAATCTAATATTACTAGGAAAGATAATTATTAACATGTGAAATCTGGATAAACAATATAAAGAAAACTTGATTAATAACTGATAAAGAAAAAATTATATGAAAAAACTATATAAAAACTTTATTTGGTATTGGAGGTATTTACAGCAACAAACAGTCTGTAATTTGGAAATCCAAAATCTAACAAAGAGAATATCAGTAGTAGATATAAAAGTAATATTGAATATATAAGTCTTAAATCACATAACAAGTGCAATAAATCTTGCTAAGTATTGTTAATATTTGAGTATCAGTTAAGGATCCGAATGATTCTATTTGAATTGAATTTAAATGATTGATTTGATTTTTTTATTTAAAAAATTAAATTTAAACAATAAAATTTTGATTCGATTCAATTTGATTCTAATTTAAAATAAAATTGTTAAAAACTTGATTCAAATCAGATTCAATCAATTTAATTTATATAGATCAGTATTATTTCAATATCAGTTTTATACTAGTTTGATATTTTTTGAAGTTCTAATCACAACTAATATATAATGATAATCAATTATAGATTATTATTTATTATATTGCAATAGATAAAATGAATTTTGGACAATAAAAAAATTTTTATTGCTAAAGCAAAGTTTGTTTTTT